CATAGTTGATCTTGTCCTGGAGCTGTATATCCACTTCCCTCTAGGACCCTTTTTAACTCTCGTAATGAAAAGTCCATGTCAAGTGCCGATTCATCACATCTTTTTTCTTAGTTCCATCACTATTTGTTCTGAAAATATCCTTTTTCCGTTGTTTATGTATTTCATCTAAATCACTCCCGCTATGTACACTTGCAAACGTCTTACCTAGTAGCTCAGCTTTCTCCTTCTCCATCTATCAGCACTGGGATTTTAACTGATTTTCTTTTCCCACTCATCTTTTTGATCATTGCCCAAATGTCACCCAATTTAACTTCTCTACCAATGGAGGAGCAGAATTGCCTCCATGCATTCTTCTTGGATGACTTAATTATTTTCCGTGCCATAGCCCTCTTTCTTTGATAGTCAATCAGATTGTCTTGGCTCAAATGCTTTCTTAAAATTCTTATTTCATTCTTCATTTTTACATCCATCGTTCCAAATTTTCTTTTTCTTATTCACTGTGCCCTTAGGGATGCAGGTTGTTGCAGCATTAATTTAATCATGGAAGTCACTGCGCACCTATTTACATCACCCTCCATCATTATTCTTTCAGAATACAAAGTTCTCTGAATTTTTCCCAGTTAGCTTAATGAAAACACCATCTCTCTATTACATAATATATTGGAAAGTGATCACTCCCTATGTTGGTATCATTCTTTACATTCCATTCACAAAATTACTCATATTTACTGTGACTAAAGTAAGATCTATACAAGAAACTTAATGTCTTGTAACATTAACCCTGGTACCTCTTCCATCATTAAGGCAAGAAAGTGATCTCTCCTCGATTAGTTCTTCAACTACTTCTCCATTAGTGTCTGTATGGTCCCTTCCCCACAGAGTATTGTGAGCATTAAAGTCTCCACACCATATTTCTCTTCTATCAACACTTTCTGATATCTCATGGAATGTTTGCATTGATAATTTCTTGCACGGTTTATAAAAATTGACTACTTTGATATTTCCTCTGGGACTGCACATTTCTACTACTACACATTCATACTCATTTGGAACAGTTACCCTTCTATATGCTAAAGTATCCTTAATAAATGTTACACATCCTCCACCTTGTTTTCCAATTCTGTCACATCTAACCGAGTTGTAGCCTGGTAGGTCAAAATCCAAATGTGGTCTTAACCAAGTTTCTTGTATACACATAACATCAGGTCTAACTTCCAGATCAGTTACAACCTTCTTGAAATCTTGTCCATTTGCAATTAAACTTCTGGCATTCCAGTGGAGGATATGAAATACCATATTGAGGCTAATCACCTTAAGACACTCCATCATAATTAGTCTGGTTCAACAACTTCTGTGATCCCCAGTAACTCTATGGCTGCCTCTACAATTGTCTTGATTCTATCACTTTTTTTCTTCTGCTGTATTGCCACATTTACAGTATTACAGATGAAAGCAACAAAGTTGGTTTTACCCACAATCAGCATATCTTCATTAATATCCTTTATCCATGGATTTGTTTCTGTTTGCCTCTGACTTGGTGTTGGAGATGAAACCTCAATTACTCGTCTCTTCTCAGACTCTTGGGCTCTATTTACTACTTTCACTTTCCTTGCTGCATCAGCATAAGATACCTGATTAGTTACTTTATATTTCTGTACCTCTCTAGCTTGCCTTTGAACAGGGCATCCTCCAAAAGCAGCGCTATGCTCACCGCCGCAATTACAACATTTCACTTTTGTATCCTGACCACATTTTCCATATTCATGTTCACCTCCACATCTAGCACATCTTTGTTTTCCTTTACATTGTCCAGCAGTGTGTCCCATTCTTTGACACGTGAAACATCTAAGTGGTGCTGGGATAAACTCTCTTACATCATAACTCAGATGTCCCATTCTTACTCTCTTTGGCATAAAAACTTTAAAACTACAGGACTACTGACAGGCTGTCAGTTTTCACCCCTTTTCTTTGCATTTGCAGTCTTGTGGCTTTCACCACTTTCCCTCCTTTCACTTCCTGAATTATCTCCTCCATTGTCATTGCCAAAGGAACATCATAAATAATACCTCTAAGCTTTGCTGCATTCCCGGGGATATGAGTGCTGATCCTTTCCCCATTATGTGTTTCTGTGCAGAGAAACCTCTCTCTTTGCAGTTGGTCTGTAGCAAAGATCAGCAGCCTCCTATTACTCAAATATTTGGCCTTACCCATTTCTTTCTCAATTGCTTTTGTTAGTTTTAGTGGGTGAAAATGCCCCCCTTCTTTTTTGAATGTTATCATCACTTTCCATTCAGTTTGTTCTCATCCTCCTTTCTCACATTTATTTCACTTTTTTGGACATGTGGCTCACCTCCACATCATAGGTTGAACTTTCCTGTTATTATTTAAATCCTGCCATGGCATACTATCACTATCTCCATCCGTACTTTTACCCATGATAATTACATTCACGGCACAGTTGTTGCTTAATTCGCCAAATACCAACGCTCGTCCTCAGCAGCACGCTCAAACACAATTCCGACCTTCTCCGCTCACTTCCGCCAACTCCAAACTTGCTGCTCCCTCACTTCTTCCCTGTCACTTCCTTCTCCTGGTTTGTGCCAAAAGAACAGCACCACAGTGTTTCACATCAGGGCTTTACATACACTGAGCAAAATTGAAAACGTAACTTTTGTTTTTGCACCCGTTCCTCAGAGCTGAACTCAAAGATCTAAGACTTTCTCTATGTGCACAAAAAGCCTATTTATCTCAAATGTGGTTCACAAATCTGTGTTGGTGAGCACTTCTCCTCGATAATCCATCCACCTCACAGGTGTGGCACATCAAGATGCAGGTGTGCTTTAGGCTGGCCACAATAAAAGGCCACTCGATAATGTGTAGTTCCCTCACACAACACAATGCCACAGATGTCGCACGTTTTGAGGGAGTGTGTAGATGTGACATGTTTTATCTCTACTATAAGTAATTGCAAAATTTTGCATCATTTTTGGAGGCTTGAGTACTCACTTTGTTTTTATTTTATAGCTTCTGTCACACTTTACAAGTTTGTGTCGCAGCAAGTGCAATAAAAAGCAGCTTATTGGGACAAGCAAACATTACACTAGTAATAGCACATCATCAAGACCTGTACACAACAAAGCATCTGTTTCCAGTGAGGATGAAATATCAGAACTGTTGTAGCCTTCATCTTCATACTGTTAAAGAATGCTGTACATTTACGAGTAAGTGTAATTTTTAAAGAGTCTTCAATTTTTGGTAAAGCTTTAAAACTTGTTTAATATTGCAGTTGCTCTAAATAACTGAAAGTGTCTATGGCCAACAGCCAATATGACAAATCAGTTAAGATTTGGAACCTGCGACAATGACATGGAAAGTTTCAGCTATTATCCATGTGTTGTACTGCATGTCGACTTGCCTTTACCACTACATTATATTTAAAAGGGTGGACATAACACCTCACAACAGTAAATCCACCAGCACAAACAAAAAAAACAAACAATTGATTTGAATCAAGTGTGCCACCAACTTTAAAATGGAGGATGCTTATTTTGAATTTATATGAAAGAAGAGTATAAAATGGGTCCATTTTTATGGAGGTCATAAATATGGTCAACCTTTCAACAGCTTTGCAAGTCCCATTTTTGTAGCACAAAACAAAAAAAAAAAGAAGTTTTTACAATACACTTCCCACTACTGGACATTGTCATCCTTTAACACGCCTAAGCACATTGTAGGTACAAAGAACAGTGGGCAGAAAAATAAAATGAAGTGGTCTAATCAAAGCTCCACCTCTCAAGAGTCAACCACCTATTAGTTTGGTGAGGCCTTCTTACTTAAGGAGCAGAAGAGTCAGATGATGAAGAAGACTGAGGCTCTGAGCAGAGAGATAGCAGCTCTTTCAGACACAATCAGAGCCACAGAGGAGGAGCTGAGAGCTGAAGACGTCTCATTCCTGCTCAACTACAAGGCTGCAGTAGAAAGAGTCCAGCAGCGCCCCCTGCTGGAGGATCCAGAGCTGGTCTCAGGAGCTCTGATTGACGAGGCCAAACACCTGGGCAACCTGACCTTCAACATCTGGAACAAGATGAAGGAGATGGTCTCCTACACTCCTGTGATCATGGACCCAAACACTGCTCATCCAGAACTCATCCTGTCTGGAGATCTGACCAGCGTGAGACTTGGACAGAAACAGAAGCTTCCTGAAAACCCAGAGGGGTTTGATTACTATCACATTGTCCTGGGCTCTGAGGGCTTTAACTCAGGGACTCACAGCTGGGATGTTGAGGTTGGAGACAGTACACACTGGGTCCTGCAGAGTCTGTAGAGAGGAAGGGAGACATCCGCTTACAGTCTGGATTATGGGGATGCATAAAGATGAATACACAACATGCTCACTACCAGGTCCAGACACAGTTCCCTTAGTAAAGAAACTCCAGAGGATCAGAGTTCATCTGGACTTGAACAAAGGAAAGTTGTCATTCTTTGATCCTGATACCAACACATGCCCCTTCACTGAGAAGCGGTTTCCTGTTACCACTGGGAATGAACTCCCACTGAAGATACTGCCAGTGATCTCTGATAATAATGGCAGTGACATTCATGATTATGTTTTGATGATTTCCCATATTGGTTGGTCAATCCCCCCCAATTACCTTTAAAAAAAAAAAAAGAAAAAAAAGGCTTTATCAATGCTGCCAAAGCATTGAAATAAAATGGATGCTACAGTTTATCTGGGCATTTGTAAAGATAATACTAAGGCAGAGGAGTCCAGAATAATTGTTTTGTATTGAGTGGGCGCCATAGCAACACTGTAACACAACGCTGTATTGCAGATAAGGTCTGTCAAGGCTCCACCTCTCACCCAACTCATAAGACAAATAAGGAAAAAAAATGTTTCCCCAAAGGAGAGATCCTCCAACAGACAATAAAATCAGACCAAAACACACAACTTCCAAGGAGAGAACAGCCACAGTAGGGAAAATGTGAGCTTTGCAACCTCAACCTGCTACAACTCCAAACACTGAGTTTTATTTTTATTAAAAACACAATTCAAGGTGAAGTAACTATTATTGAATGTAAACAGGGGGGCTTAACCAATTTACTTTATGCCATGACATAGACCCTATTGTTCTGTCAGGTAGCAAAAGCTTCTGTAGAGTCTGTCTGTAAAGATGGTGGAAAGTGTAACAAATACTGGAGTTTACAATTTGTAAGAGAAGATCATCAAAGGGTCAAGCACAGTTTGGTGAATTAGAACCGGCCTTCTTTCTTCACTCGAGTCTGAGGCTCTCTACACTCCGAGAAGCTCGAACTCTTCTGTCTGGACCATCAGCAGTCAGTGTGTCTGGTCTGTCAAGTTTCAAAAACACACAACCACAGATTCAGACCCATTACTGTCAGGATTGTGTTATGTCCTCATACAGGTAACTGATTTTAAATCCAAATGCAGGACATGTAACTTAGCAGGTTAACTTCTAATAACTTTTTAACAACCCCAAGTGTACACACTTACAGTGGCAGTTCAAAAGGAAAAGCAGGCCAAATGACAATTAAGGACTCCCCAAAGCCCAAGATAATCCAAACGTTGAACAAATGCAAGTAAAGAAACAAAAATGACAACACAGATATACACAGACAAACGAGCAGGGTGGGAGCACAAACAGGTGATACAAATCAGCGCAATCACGGGCAGAACAAGGGCAGGCAGGCTGATTGACAGAGGATACAAATCACAAACAAGACAGGGAACAGACAGAAAACAGGATCAAGGACAATGAACACAGTAGACAGACCAAAATCAAATAAACAACAACACAGGGAGAGATATTAAACTAAACCCCCCAAACAAGGATCAAGAACGTTAAAATAACAAAGCAGACAGAACTGTGACAATTGGTGAAGCTGCACAGGATCACAGAGAGGAGCTCCCTGAAACCCTTACAGGAGAAACTGAAGCTCTTTGAACACGTTAAAGGAAACTGTGATCGAACAGCAGAACACATCAAGGTCCAGGCCCGACACACAGAGAGGAAAAGAGTTCATCTGGACTTGAACAAAGGAAAGTTGTCAAACTGCTAATCCACATCTCATCCTGTCTAAAGAGCTGTGCGACTTTTTAGGCTACTTCTACTCCACTACTTTTCTTAGTGAAATATTCTACTTTTATTTGACTACATTTATCTCACAGCTGCAGTTACTAGTTACTTTTCAAATTAAGATTTTACATGGAAAAGCACACAAAGTACAATCAGTTACAGATTAAACCAGTGGCTGGTCCAGTTTTACTCCATTGTCATGTCTCAGATGTCGTGGATGGAACTTTTCTCCTCTAAGTGTTCAGTTGTTTCATTTTATAGGAATGTATGGATCAGAAACTTGTTTTTTCTCTCCCCTCAGATTTATTTTGTGACCCTTTGGAGGGGCCTGAACCCTAGGTTGGGAGCCACTGAACTAAACTACTTGACCTTACTGTATAAGGTAGTTAAAACTTGCTCCACTGACCACTAAAACTGCATTGATTCATCAGTATTAACAATTTAACAAGTTTAAAGGTTAAAACATGTCATTTCTAATCTTTAAGTGCCATATTGTGTCTAAACATATTAAAATCAGGTGGGGGTTTTTTTACAACAAAATGTTAAGTTGATTTTTGCCGTGTCATTGCGCTACTGCTGACTAATGCTTCCATGCTATTAGCTGGGAACGCTAGGCCCACCATCTTGCATCTGCCTTGGGACACCTGTCTGTCACATGAATTAAACAACAAACATTTAAATTATTAATAAAACAATTCCTTACTGATATGAATTCCTTATTGTGTGTTTGTCTCTGTACTTTATGGTTTTGTCTACATTTGAACATTTCTGTGGTTAAAATCTGGTAACATTTTTATTCAAAAACTAGTTTTACATGGAGTGGAGGGCGGAAATATGGTAAAAATACAATAAAAGATAAAGTTGTGCTGCCTCACTGGCCTCCCCCTAAAGCACATGTTGAACATGAATGTGCTAACTTGCCTTAAACGTCTAAAGAAGCAAGATTTGAATCTTAAGTTTTGCATTATAACATGCAGGAGAAATGACATACAGCAAAGTCCAAAAAGAGAGTAAAAAGCACAACAAAACATGTCTTCTGAAAAAAGTCCTTTTAATAGAAACCCATTGACAAATGAATATGGAAAAGATTTGACTGTCAGTACAGATGGAAAGTTATTATGATGATATGAATCACCCCATTCAAACAAACATCTGCAAGCAAGTTGCGTTAAAAAAGACTGGACAAGATTTCCACTGCATAAAAAGATGGAGCCATTTTTATTCTGCTGTGAAACTAAATCTATTGCTGTGAATTGTCTTAAGACACTGCTGGCTCCTGTAGACTTCACCATCAGCATTCAGGCATTAGTTGTCAAATCTATCTCAGAGTGATGTGTATTAACCCTTAAATAAAAACAGACATGAAATAATAAGTATGTAGTGTGTTTTAAAAAGGCAATTTTATTTTAACTCAAACTGATAAAAAAAAAAAAAAAAACTGCAACTCTGCCTGTGGATGAACTGAAACGTTCTGCCAATTAATTCACTCTTTGCTTGACAAAAAGTTAAGTCACCAATTTTGACGATCAATTGGTTGTTCAAGTAATATTTTTATGCAAACATGCCATAAATTGTCCAATTACAGCTTCTCAAATGTTATTTGCTTAGTTGTCCATGATAATAACAATGGTCATTATATATCACAATATTACTCATGTGAAGAGAATTTTTCTTGTTTCCATATTAATGTGGAAATAACATAATAGTAATACTAAACCAATGCAAATAGGGCTTAAATACCAGTGCCGGTCATCTGTCATTCATATTGAAGTTCACAGTGAAGCCGGGCTTCCTTTACGTTACAGTTGCAAATTAAACATTTTCAGTGAGAAGAATTATACAAAATATATTTATACATGTTTCTCTTGTCAAGTATGAAATCTTTTCATAATCAAAGATTTACAAAGACATCAGGTAGGTAGAGTTGGCTGTTAGATGACTAAAAAGTATATTAACATAGGAAAATAAAGCACCATAGATTCACAAAACAAGCAAACCCATAATATACAGACATATACGTAAAAAATTATATAAAACAAAAAGAAGGAATTAACTTTTTACCAGCTTTTGGAAACAGCAAGTGTAACAGTGTAGTGTTGCAAACAGACGACTGCCCACATATTACACATATTGCAATGGAAACGTGTTAAGAAGAGCAAGGCTGGGGCAACGCGCATCATTTAGGTCATGTATGATAGACTTTAACCATGAAGTTACTGTAGTGATCAAGGCTCTCTTAGTGATAAACAACCGAACCAGAGCTGCGTCATATTTTCATCTTACTCCCTCGCCGCCTCTCGATTCCTTCTTTTTCCACCCTTTTCGATCTCCTTCACCGCCTCTGTTTGTGTCGGTCCTCATCAGCTCACAAAGTTAGAAAACTGTCATGTGACCGAGTTGTATTTACAGGTTATGACTGCTACTACATGATTTGAACCAATGAAAAATCTACCGCAGGATGTAAATAAGAGGAGTCAGGCATAAACTCTGGTGTTTGACTGTTTAAGAGCTGCTTTACAGAGAATCCAAATATGTGGCTGATCCGTTTGAGGTCATTTTGATGAAGTGCTGCCATTATTTGACCACTGGAGGGCAATCAATTCTTTACTGTAAAAAGTCTTACTCACTAATCATCATCACAATTCTTTAATAATCAAATGGTAAACATGTCAACTTTTATTTTTATTATTCAATTTTATTCTTTTATCTTATATTATTGTTTGGTACTTTGTTCTATTAAATGTTTGTATTATTTAAATCTCTGATATTATTTGCCTCATTGCACTCCTGAAATGTTTTAATCCTTGTTCAACCATGTAAAAGTATTTTGTAACTTTGTTTTTTTAAAAGACCCAAACACAAATCTGTCTCTCCTCCTTCCATCTATCAAACTTACACATGACTGGTCTGTATTTCTGTAGGTTTTCTCAAGCTGCTTCAGCCTTCAGGGTGCCAGTCCAGGTGTGAAGGCCACTTGTTTCACACCCTGAAACAACTTAGCAGCGTGTCTGATTTCTTCTCTGTGAACATGCCCCGTGGTTTTAATCAGCAGCAGTTCCTGTTTTGTCTTGAGCTTTTGGCTTGGATCAGATCAGAGAAGGTCGGTTTGCTTCAGTTGACTCAACCTTCCTGTCCCAGGAAACCCACTAGGAATCCAGACCACAAACCTCTGCTCCTGTCAGTGTGGTCACTCGTCTGTCCAACCATCTGTCTGTGGTCAAATCCCCCCCTCCCCGCCTCTGTCTCTTGGCGATGTCGCTAGCGATAGCCAGCGCTCCTCCTTTCAGGAACCTGACAAAGTTCTCACCAACTAGCGGCCCCATGGCGTACATGCCCGGCCCATCTGCCGCAACCACGCTGTTTGTGAATGGGTCAACCTCAATTGGGTTCCTCCGGCACGTGATTGGCTCCTCAGGGTTGATGCCAAGTGGACGCCCATTGTCATTCAGAAAAGTAAGGTTGGGGTGGGCGCCGATCAGAACGAGTGCCTTGGAGACTTGGACTACCATACGCTGGCCAGAGTCTGACTCCAGAACGCACTTCTGGTCGGGTCTGAATGCCACGACCCTATAGCGTGGGAAGCTCAGGTACCCCGGGTAAGAGGAGGGTGGCGAAGAAGTGCTGGAGGAGGATGGAGAGAGGGAGGCACGAGAGGGAGGGGTGGAGTGGTCATGGTGGTTCTGGACGTGGTCCTGTGTTTGAGGGCTCGGCTGGTACTGCTGCTGAGTCATCATCTGGTGAACCTGGAGGCCAAAGTACAGTCAGCAGGAAATTAAATCGCCAATAATTTGAATAACCAGGTGTTTTAAGTCATTTATCAAGCATGTGACTTTTCTGCAGGTTGTAAACACGTTAATTAAGTAATATTGGAAAACCATCAGCAGCTGCAGGTATCAAAGTCTCCTCACCTTGTGGTACTCTGGGTAGAGCAGTTTGGGCAGCTGGTTAAAGATGAGGTCAGGGTCAGTGACTGAGCGTCTGAAGGCGTGGTAGACGGGCGTGTTGAGATGGTGGGCGGCCAGTACTGCGTCAGCCGCTGTAAGCCCTGCCCCCACCACCAGCACCGGGTCTGAAGATTGGTCGAGCTCGCCGCGAGAGATGGCTGCTTCCAGCTCCCAGAAAGAGTGGCAGACGAAGGGCAGGGACTCACCCTCCACGCCGAGCCTGGCCGGGATGTCGTGGGTCCCCGTCGCCAACACCACATTGTGTGCCAACAGCGAGAAAGGCACCTCCTCCGAAACTGAAGAACCATCTAGCAGAAGGAGGAAACAGGAGGTGAATATGTGGCACTTGATTAAATTTTTAACAACATGCTGTAACACTAATAAGTGTTTTAATTCACTGTACCTCCCAGCTCTTCCCCCTCTCTGCGCTGCAGTCCTGTCACTCTCCAGCAGGGCGGCGACCCCTCCTGGTTGCCTGGCTGTCTGGTTACAGAAGTGACGGTTGTTCCACAGGCAAAGCTTTGCTCCAGGGACATCTGGGAAACGTAGTGTTGGTAGTAGGAGGCTATCTCTGCTGGTGTGGCCCGGTCGTTTCGTACATTTCTGGAAAAAAATAAACATGACGTTATCTTTAAATGCAAAATGTATACACAGATGTGTTATTAAATACAACATGGGACCCTTTTTTATAAATAGATAGATAGATAGATAGATAAATAGATAGTCATGGCACAAAGCATTTACAAGTGTGAGCTACCAAACAATTTTTTGTTCAGGTTGTCAACTAGCTAAAAGATTTGTTGAAGTTGGCAGCTTGGCAACAACTTTCAAGTGCAGGTGTCAGAAGTATCAGCGCACTAAACAACTTTGTTCACAATGTCATGAACACTTTAATAGCTTCAGGTTGTCAGTTAGCTAACAAGTTTCTTAAGGTTGTCAGCTAGTAAAAAACTTTGAAGTTCAAAGTTTTAAGTTAGCTAAAACATCAGCTAGTTGAGAAGTTTATTCTGAATGTATATCGACTTAAAGTCATGCATGTGTATCAAATTTTATTAACCCTGTTGTGTATTTAGCACACAAGAGTTGTGAGTCACGTGTACTGCTGGTTTTATGGTGGACAGACCTGCGTTTTTCTCTCATCCAGTCCTTCAGTTTGAGTCCAGGAAGCTCCATCCAGTTAGCCAGGCTCAGAGTTAGCATGGAGCCCTCCATAGCCTGCGAACAGCACACACAAAATAAAAAATAAATTAAAACAAAAAACTCAGCTGTATTTACCTGTATTGTTGTCAATATATTCTAGTAAAAGGTATTAAACCTAATTAAACTCTTGTTTCATTCAAATGTCAAGCTGCAGTCACGTTGCACATTGTATTGACAGTGTGTGCAAATAAGCAGCTGACAAGGGGGAACATGTTTGCATACATTACCATAATTTCTGGTAAGTAAATTTGTTTTCAGGAACATGGGCAAATACAAATACCTTGTTGGGTTTTAGCATGCCAGGAAATTTAAAGAAAGATTTTACTATCAATTAAAACAAAAGTCATATGATGCTGATGCCTGAAATGTGGGTTCATCTCTCTCTCTCTCTCTCTCATATATATATATTTATTTTTTTAAAGATGGTCAGTGAGCTTATTCTAGCTACATACATGCCAGGCTCCTCCAGGCGGACCCTTGCCCAGCACCAGGTGAGGGATGGCACGCTCCGGCTCGTAGCGCCATTCCAACGGAGATGTGTGGTCCAATCCAAAGTCACTGTCTGGGAGGAGCAGCGAATCAAAGAGCACGGCCACCGGATTGGACGATCGCCCCTCCAACCCCTCACACAGGAACTCCAGATCCTGGAGAGACAGGAGAGACACTGTGAGGGTACTGTTCGCATTTATGATCCTTCATTGAATTGAAACCACTGTATTTTATTTTTTTTGAAACAGAAACAACCTAATATGAGAGAGTGTGTGTGTGTGTGTGTGTGTGTTACCTGCTCTAGCAGCGACAGGTGAGGCTGCTCTCCCAGCTTGCTGTGCAGCAGGGGGTTGGGGTGCGATGCCTCAGGTGACAGGTAGGGGGTGTAACCTGACAACAGGTATGACAGACAGATCCCCGATGGGCCATTACCTTAAAGACGGAGAGAGAGAAAGAGACAAAAAACTTAAGAGTGAAAAAAGTGCCACAGCTGTAAAAAAGGAAAACTCAAATACAAAATAATGTAATGTTTGCAGAGATTCATTTTTTTAAAAACACAATGCAAGCACTCAAAATGTAGTTTGAATCTTGCAAAACCTTTTTGTTGGATGTCAAGTTTTTAAAGACAGAGTTTCAAACATGGCATGATATTCTTCCCATATATAATGTTCTGGTTGTTGGCAAAGAGTGTCTATACTTAGGTGGTAATAAAATAAATAAAGATTATTATTACTTGGTTTATATGCTTCTACCTGCAGTAATCTGCATTTATTTTATATTCTGAAGTAACAAACAGCCACAGCTAAATAAAAAATATATACTATCATTGCTCAGTCACTGGATGAATACGACATGAAACTCATCGGGGCTGTAACATGACTCAGCAAATCTGAATACTGCATATCAAACCCTACAACAAGCCTATGACTCAGCAAGAACACACACACAGAAGCAGTAAAACCTCGCCTGCTCACGATGACTAAAGGATATCACACATTTACTTTTTAAGCCAACAAAATAAATCCTGACCTCATTTGCAGACAAATAAAACACATTATGTTGTAATCGTGATAATGTGTAACAAAATAGTTACCCTGAAATTTGTCTGTTTGTCTTTAATCTGTAAAAAAAATAAGATACATTTTTCATAAGATAAAGGTTAGTGCATAGTAGTTTTTCCGATGAGCTACGAACTTGACCACAGGAGCGTGTAGTTTTCCTAAGTAAACACACTTCTAACATTGAGAATCCTTTCTAAATAAACAGTTTTAATTTCTACATCATTACTTTGTGCAACACTGCATCTCCCTCTTCCTGCTGTGGCTAATGTGAACACTTTCTCAGACTATGTAGCTTTTAGCCTGTAATCAATTATTAGTAAACACTTTGTGAGTATTCGTCCCAGCGCTTTCCTCGTCAACGTGTTGCTTAACTCCACGCACCGCTGTGTTTTTGGTATGTTGTAATCCAGGAGCCAAGGTGCAAAAGAAAGACTTTAATAATGATCCTTCTATCCCAGACATTTTTCCACAGCCGGACAAAAACCCTCCTTTCTCACTTCTGTGCCACTTCACATTTCAATTCACTCTTATTTGCAAGACAATAAAAATATATTTTTTCCTTGCGTCTAGTTGCACTTAAAATGGTTAATACATCCTATGTTTGTCAAGTTTACCTAACCTAATTTAAACTATATGGACATCTATTGTTTATTGGTGCATTCAAGTGTTTCTGAGAAGGTAGTAAAAAAGCACAAAGTTTCCAACCACCCAAGCAAGCTGCTGCTTTTTCCTACTGCACAATCAAAATGACGTGATGAAGTGCAATTATGACATCTTTGTGTGTGTTTCTTACCGATGATCACCACAGGAAAAATCTCTCCGGGAATAATTTCTTTATCATGAAGATCCATTTCGACTGAGAAGAGAAAGACATTATTATTATTATTATTATTATTAGAATGTGTCTTATTAGCCCTGCAACATCATTATCATTTCCATTTTTACCACTATTATCTAAAGCTGGGAAAGTGCAGTAAGGGTGAATTAGTTAATCATTTCCAAGTCATGTCAACGGTCACAATGGTCAGTCAGTACATTTCCACTGACCCCTTAGACACACACACACACACACACACACCTCTGTCTGACCTCATTGTTTAACATAGCAACATGACCTCAACTAAACAAAGACCGATATCACAGTTCCCAACACAACCAACATATGAAATGAGAGAGAGTGTGTGTGTGTGACGGTAAAGAGAGGTGAAGGAGTGAACATAGGCAGGGATGAAAGAATGAGATACAATCAATTACTATTTATTGTCCAGAACCTAAAGACATGACATTTTATTTCAAATTAATCCGAAAACCTGTCTAGCCTATAAAGAGTCTATAAAGAGCCACACATGTGTCACACATCACTAAAGACATTAAGATTAACTCAATATAATGGTTGATATGTATATGACAGTAAGTAAAAAATGTAAATAGCCTATGTGAGCCTCTGACTCAATTCCAAAGCACATGAGTAGGACGTTAAAAGGTTTCTTTGTTCTGCTGCAAATACTTTCTCAAGAAATACCAAGTCATGTGTCACCTGATCTTAACACTCTGTTGGTTTTTGCATTTTTTATTGAACTTCTTGCTTGAACCATCTGATATAAAACAGGGGCTGTAACTTTTTGGTATTTTCAGTAATAGCCCTGATAAAGACCTGAGTTTTAGTGTTTTTTTATACGTTCATCTCAGAAATGTAAAGGTTTTTCTACAACAATTTTTTTTTTCAAGTAATAAAGAAGTCAAAGTTCTTAAATGTTAAACATTAAAAGAACCTAATAATAGTGTCTGAAATAGGCAAAGTGGCAGGAGGGCTTAGACCGAGAAAAGTGTGAAACATAATATAGATCACGATGTCAACTGTCACTCGGGGGAAGTTGAGATGAGTACAGCGGCGCTAAGCGGCGGGTGTCGGCTGGTTTTAACAATCTGCAAAGTCATGCTTACACAAGCAGACAGGAAATAAAACACACAGTCAAGAGCTGAGAGAGCGAGGGGAGGAGGTGAAAAAGAGGAACGAATGAAGCAGAATGAGTGATGAAAAAAAGAGAGAGAGGTTGGGAGAGAGATAAAGAGGGTTACATAAGTGCAGTGCAGAGCTTGGCACAGAGCCCGGCCTAGAGTATGTTTCATTGCCAAAGACTTTACTGGAGAGCTCAGACATACACACACACACACTGTACATGACTACGTGCAACCCTACTAGCCCACTTTCCTTGAACTGACAGGATAATTAGTTTTCTTTCATTTTTGGAAAGTACTGAGCATATCTGCCAAGAAAAGGTGACTAACGCCTGATTTACAGTACAGAACCACAGTCATGAGAGTCAGAGGAGCCCAATGCTTTCTGTGTTTATTCATTAAGAAACTGTAATTTTGTTGTGTTTATTTTAAATAACAAAGTGGATTAAAAGTAATTACATGTTGTGAAAATCAGACCTATTTTGTCCTTTAGGTTTGAGGACTTGTTGGCAATTTCACTGTTCGTGTTGTTGCCTCTCATTGTCCTCCTCATGTACTATAACTGGAAACATATTCTATACTGCAGACCATGTTTATTCCTCTGGCTGCAAGAAAAGGGAGCATCAAATCTGGTGAGAAGTTAAAGTGAAAATATGCAACAACTTTTTGTCATTTAACACACCTGATGTTCAGGTTTTTACACTCTGTGCAACAAACTTCAGTAAGAGACACAAAATGTGTCCTGCTTAGATTTATGGACTGAGAAGAGAATTCATCCATTCAGCTTCACTGTCTCAAAACCTTACATTACAATTTAAATCTCTATCTCCATGGCTCAATAGCAACGAGGAAATTTTCTAATAATAATGATGTTGCAAACAAAGGTAAGTTTTTTCTTTCGGGTTTACACTGCAACGTTCGTCAACTGATTTCTAAACTTAATCAGATAATACCACATCTTGTTACAACCTAGCAGCCACACTCAGATTTGATTAGCTAAAGTAATTTTCAAACCAAAGGCTGTCAGTTTTATTTATTTGCGGCATCAACACACCTGGGAAGACAAGAAAGTTCTACAATGAGCCAGATATTGGCAGTAGTAACAGTCAATTACTGCCAGTGAAAGTTTATCCTTCAGGCGCATCACGTGATTAACTTATCAAAACCGTATGACAACAATGACACCGCACTTCTTCCTTAGGCGTGCACAATGAGTGTGTGCGTGTGAATTAGTCAACAATCGTAAACACATATGTGCTGGGTGATGATGCAAGCCACGTTTCAGATCAGTTGGATAATCAGTGCTAACACACTTACATAATCATATAACTGCATATTAAAAAAATAAAAAGAAGCTCAATTCACAAAACAAGCCATTGTTTCAACACCTCGGAATCAAATACAGGATTTCAACAAAGAGTTTTTAAATTTTACCAGATATTTTGCAATTAACATAGTAAAATAATCCCTGCTGAGCCAACTGTGACCTTTACTTCTAGGTTTATAACTTCTCCATTACTGAAAAAATAAAATAATTGTCATCTATTCTTTAATAAAAATGAGTGTAAATAAAATGTGTATATGCTTCAAAAAGGTTTCTTAAAAAAACAGTTTTGGTGGTTGTGTCGGCTCTATTATTAAAAGATTTTAAACAACGCCCAGCCAAAGTAATTTCTTTCATGGTTTTGTCGGATGGGACAAACAAGGGGTTCATGAAAAATGGCAAACAACAAGTGAGATAGTGAGCATCCATGTCTTGGAGCGCTGCTGAAGTTTGTCCGGGGAATGAACAAAGGAAGATCCGGCCCTAGTCGTCAACGTGACTCTCACAGGAGTCATATTCCTCTGATGCAAATATAGCAAAGTCAAATCTTATCCAGCTGCTGCTGTTATTTTAATGCAGACACTTCTTTGAATTTAAGCCGTCTTTTGTGTTAAGTGACGCCCCCCATGACTCACAACAGCAAACACAGGAATGCTCCATCTGGCACCTGTACTGTTGCCCTTCTGAAGTCATCCTGCGGCTGGACGGCCCATCTGCCATCTGCACAAGCCAGACGGCTAATGAGATTTTAATTATCTGCCCACTGAACAGCAAAACGCCTGCCGGAATCTGTGCAGAAACTGTTCTTTATAAACCGAATTAACTGGTGTGTAGTAATACAGACAGTCTAACAAAGTTGTCGATTAGTAGGTGGGTACAACGTTATCAATCAAAACTGACAAACATTGACTGGTTGGTGACTCACTGGTGACTGGCTAACTTTCTAGTCACTATTACTAACTCAAGCCTAAAACATCTTACACTGCATAAATTAGCAGCTAGTGGACTTTTCCTCTACTCATATTCTTTTCTTACTCCCTGCTGGTTTAAGTAACTGAATATCCTGACAAAACACCACGGTTGGATTTCAGCATTATATAAACGTAACAAGTTGTTGTCAGTAGTTTACATGTCACCTGCTAAGCACACATACACGGAGACCCCAGGCAGCCACTCCGCCCCTCTTAAGCACTGAGCATCCTCTAACATGCTGTTTAATTAAAGACAATACTGCTGAATTAAATTTTCTTATTTCATATATAATAATTTAAAAGAATTAAGCATTTAATTGCAAAAGTTTAGTAAATGTATGTGTTAAATAACCGTGATTATGATTTTTCCCATAATCCAGCAGCCCTAGAATTTAACTACATACATTTACTCAAGTGGATGTAGGTACCAGGACATCACCCATCGAGTTTGACATTTTGGCTGCCAACATCTTGGGTTGTTTTTTTTTTTTTGGAAACACAAGAGGGTGTAGCTGGGGACGGATATGCATTGCTATGCCTGATATGCCGCCGTGGTAGCGACTTATCAATCACAAGGTAGCCACGCCCTAAAACATCCTGCTTTATCTATTTTACTTAACATAATGCTAAAGAAGACTTGAAACTAGAGATTGAGACCATAAACTCATTAGTGAAATGTTTACTGAGGTAATAAGTGAGAAGTAAGCTAATTTTGTCATAGATGCCTATGCAATAAAATGTCACCCCCTGCAGGCCAGAATGAATGCAGGTTTAATACACTTCTGCATTGTCTTCACTTTTTTGTGTTTTTTTGTACTTCACCACATGTAAGAGGGGAAAATTACTTCACTGAATTAAGATTTTACATCTAAAACATATTCAGTTAGTACATTATGATGCACTGTTGTCTACATTTAACTACCTAGATTTAACTAGGTTGTTAAAATTAGCTCCACCATGACAACATTAAAATGCTACTTATTCATGCTGTTTTGGATAATGTAGCGTATATATTTTTTTACTTTTAATACCGTTTTAAGTCAATACATTTTTTCACTTGTAGACTAAATGTTACGTCAAAACATCTAAATTCTTATTCCCAAACTGACCCGGACAACAAACTTAAGTCTTCCCATTATAAATCCTGGGGAGACAAATTTGATCAAGTGAGCATCTCTAGGGGAAAGTAACATTTACTCAAGCAGGCTACTGTACTAGGCCTACTTGTACTTACTTCACATGAGTATTTCCATTGTATGCTACATTACACTTCTGCAGATTTAGATTAATGTCTTACATTAATAAAAAATATATTATGATGTATACTTTATTATTTAAACTACCAATCAGTACCTCTACCAGCTGCAACATTAACGATGCTTATAATGCATCACTTGTTATAATCCTGTAATATAATATGCATTAAGCATGGGTGCTGCAATGCGAAGTTGGCTATAGTTTGGTGCCAATATTCGCTTGTAACAGAGTATTTTTACACTGTGGTATTGCTACTTTTACTGAAGTTAAAACATCTGAATGCTTCTTCCACCACAGTCTAAAGGCAGATTTTAGCCGGAAACATGGAGAGACGTCAAAGTGTGTGACTGGAAATTTGTCTGAGACCCCCCCCCCCCTCCGCCGGTGAACTGCACGACTCCCATCACGTCAGTGTGAGCTGAGGACAGAGACCTGCACTCACTGAGTACCGTTAACACAAAGCTACTGTATAAAACAAGCGTAATAACCGACACCCCGATGACACACGTGCTAATCTCAGACCCGCATACCGTCCCGCATGCGCTTCACGCATCTATCTCTTTATACAACCTAACGTTATGAATTCAAGATGAAGGTGACTCACAGATATTTCCTGGTGATGCGGCTCTCTGTGTCCTCCTCCAGCTATCGGAGTCTTACACAAAAGGGGAGAATATGTTTATATGTTATGTTCCCCTGCTGCTTCTCAGTCAGTCATTTCGCAGCTCTGCTCCACGCGTTTTATCCGGTTTCTTCCGCACGTGTGCTACACAAACCTCGAGCTGCCGCTCAGAGCTGTACTCACAGATTATATACCGCTTCAGGCAGTCCGGACAGCCGACCAATCAGCAGCGAGCACCCTCGTCTCTCACCCCTCCCTCTTCTGCGACATGGTGACGACACGAGAATGACGTAACGGGCGTGATGTTGGGATGAAGAACTCCGACCTGTAATTTATTTATAACAAGATTGATATTGATTGAAAGACTAAAATAGCCTACTTCCACACGCACAAACACGTTTACTATTTTATTTATTTATTTGATGAACTGTATGAATTGAATTCACAATGTACTCACGCTTACGGTTTTTACTTTTATTTTTATATTTAATTTAAACACACGTTTACTTTTACAAATATTTTTTATTTAGTATTTTTAATTTAGATGTTTAATCATTTAAAAAAATTACACACACACACACACTTACGTTTTTTTAAATTTTTTATTTAATGAACTGCATGAGATGAACTGTTCTTTTGTATTATCTTTTGAGCTTTGGCAATATTGTTCTTGGACATTCATGCCAATAAAGCAAAACTGAATTGAGATTGTAAATTAATATATATTTTGAACCTCTTTATTTTATGTAGAAAATTTTACATTCACGGTAAATAGTCCGAGAAGAAACCGCAATTAGCACATTTTATGAAAAAAATGAAACATAATGTTGAAATTTTATTTGGTTCAAAGAATAGTAAAGCATTCAAAACAGTGTATACAGTATGTTACGCTTTAAATATTTTTCTTAATGCCTTTGTTGTTTGTTACATGATGCCCCTTGTTCTTTGTTTATAAAGTATATGTCCTGTTCTATTATTTTGCAATTTTATGTACTTTTGTTTTGATTAAAGATCTTTGTAAGAGATGAATTCAATTTTTTATAAATCTCCGACCTTTAGCAATATTAACATGTGCCTTGTTTCAGAAAGAAATTGTACATATTACACATGTTGTATCATATTGGAACCGATTTGTAACTGCATAGACTGTATTTAAAGTGTAAATGACACCGTCTCTAAAAAAAGGTCTGGATGATTCCTCACAAATTCTTGATTGTTAATAGAAACTGTTCTGCACCTCTTTTGACCTCATTTACACACCACCAGCACACCACCAACTTCTGGCTAAACTTCAGCAGATTCATTATTGACCATGTTTACAGGAAATTTGCATTGATGTGGGAGATTGACTTTTATAAAAGCAAAATATCCCAAAGAAAATAAAAGTATACTGTGAAGTGCATTTATTTCTTTGTACTATTCCTCCATGGAGGTTGTCTATTATATAAATTAAATTTCTCAATCCAATACCAAAACGGCTGTGAAAACGTAAGTGGACCTCTCTAAATAACCATACATAATATAGACTAACCGTGGCAAAATTCTTGTTATTTGTGTATTTTTATGTACCCTACTTGTATATTGTTCTGTATACTTACACTCAACAAAATTATAAACGCACATTTTTGAGTGGCCTTTTATTGTGGCCAGCCTAAGGCACACCCATGCTGTCTGATTAGCATCTTGGTATGCCACACCTATGAGGTGGATGGATTATCTCGGCAAAGGAGAAGTGCTAAGTAATGCAGATTTTGAAAGATTTGTGAGCAATATTTAAGATAAATAGGCCTTTTCTGTACATGGAGAAAGTCTTAGATCTTTGAGTTTAGCTCAGAATGAATGGGGGCAAAAACAAAAAAGTGTTGCGTTTAGAATTTTGTTTGTTCCTTTTACACTATAATGCTTTTCTTGCAACAAAGTAAAATAGAAGAAAAAGAGTTCAGACCAAGAAGAGTAGAGAAGTTCAACATAAAAATCTACTTTTTACAACAAAAAGGGTTTAATGCATGTAATTGAATTTAAGTGGTGGAAAGTAACTAAATACACACATACATACTCAAGTACTGTACTTGAGCACAGTACTGAGGTACCTTGACTTTACTTGAGTATTCAATTTTTCTGCTACTTTGACTCCACGCCATTTCAGAGGGAAAAACTGTAATTAATATTTCACTATATTTTTTAAGTTAGTTTTTAAGTTATTTTGTATGTCATATGAAATTTAAACAGAGCAGGGGCTCTTTTTTTTTTTGTATCTTAAATTCTTTCAATTCAGTTCAACTATATTGCCAAAGCTACAAATAAATTGCAAAAGAACAACTCATTTCATAGTTCATCAACTAAAGTAAATAAAACAGTAAAAGTGTTTGTGTGAGTAAAAAGTAAAAATATATATTAAAACAAACCTAAAAAAAAACCCCACATCAATGTGAAATTAAAAAATAAAAAGGAACAATTACTAAAATAACAATGAAAATAATAATTAGAAAATTTTATAGAACAATTGTTTAATATATTTATCTGTCTAGTCTGAGTTTCCACTGGTTGTCCTCAGTTCGTAGCATGAGGAGATATTTTGCTGCAATTATTTATAATTCTTCTCCTCTCAGACTGAGGCAGAGCAGTATTTAATAAGAGTTTGGTCAATTTTCATGCAACCTTTTTCTGTTTATATATTTAAAGACCGTTTGTCTGGTCATAGCTTAATTTCTTTGTTTAATTACGAAGAACGTACACTAAAAGAGGAACAAAGACAAAACACTTTCTTATGCACATTTTGAAGTATCGCTTTAGAAAAGGTTAGAGGAAACGGCAAAATTATAATAAGAAGAATAAGTCCTGATGTAGCGAACATGTAGCTCAAGTCCGATCAGCTGTTTCCGCAGTCTGCGTCTTGCCGGTTACTCCGATTACGCACGGAGACATGGCTGGTCCGGCCTGCTTTAAACACATTCCTGAAGATCTCTCTCCATTTTTCTCAGATCCATGTCTTGTTTCAACTACTGACATAACTATGCTTGCCGTAGCCTGGTTTATTCTCTCCAAACCAACTAATGGAAACGTACCTAATTCGCAGTTTCCTTTTCTCTCTTTTTTAGCAACATTTCAAAAGTCCGCTTAAAATTCCCAAGACAATTGGATGGAAACATGGCTACTGATGTTGTTTCTGTCATGGGATATATGTTGTAGAAGTTTCCACTTAGCTTTTGTTAAAATTATACAGTCAAAATCTTAGTCTTGAAATGTTGTGCAAACATTCGTGGTTCCCAGAGGATGAATCTTACTGACTTGGCACCACCAGCTGGCCAAAGTTTAAAATTATCCAGTGAAACGTCTCTGCTCAGTGGATTGGCAGAACAGTTTGCGCCGCCATTCGTGGTTCCCAGATGATAAATCCTAACGATGTTGATGATCTACTGACTTTTCCTCTTGTACTACGAGCAGGTTGACATTTTGTTTTGGTTTTGAATGAAATGTCTCTATAAATACTGAATGGAATACTCTGAACTTTGACAATCATGTTCCCCTCATGATGAATTATAATAACTCTGGTGATCCCTTCACTTTTCATCATTATGTCAAAATTTCAACTTGTCCAATATTTTGTTAGTAACTTGCAAAATTAATTACATTCCCATCTGCCTCAGCTGTAACAGTTAACATTTGTATTGTGAGCATACAATTATTAAAAATAATTTTTTTATTATGGAGCCACTTTGTAACTGAAAAGGAATATAAAAATGTTTATTTAATGTTGTGTTCATTGACAGAGTAGTTTGATGTATTTTTCATCATCCCACTTGTGGAAAATTTGGACAACCCCCCCCTTTAATATTTTATTTCTTGGTTTAGTCATCTATTAAGTATCATTGTTATCACAGTTTCATGATTGACAGCAGCATACTCTGCACGGACCACCTGTTAAACTGTCTCACTGCCACTGGTTTCTGGCTCTTTCCATCATTATGTAACAGGCTGCCCACTTGCTGCTGCGTTGCTTTTCTCATCACTTTGTTTGTTCATTGGTTGGGTCACCTCAGCAAAACCACAGGGAGCGAATCTCTGATCAGAATATATAAGACCATCACTGGCTGTATGCATATGGGAGACATGTTAATACGCCCAAAAGCCCTCTGATTCAGAGTGCAATCAAGAGTTTTTTAGCTTTGCATGACATTTAACTAACAGGAGAAAAGGTTGGTCAACTGGCACTTGATGTTGTGGTGCTAAAAGGAAAAGTCAGGGGGTCCTGAAAAAATGACTCTTTATCCTTTAGTGACTATGAACACCTAGCAGAGGTGTAAACTGACCATGGAAAGTAGTTACAGTTGCAATTATTTTATCCTTCATCACGTTGATCACAAGGCAAACAGTAGAAATGCACCATTCACATAAAGTAATTTCCATAAAGTCCGCTTACCAGCCACTTTCCTGGTTCCCCAGGCCCTTTTATTGCCATCTTCTATCTGTTCTGCCCTCAGACTTTCCCTCATTTCCACATTACCTGGCTGTTCCACCCATTTACACACCTGTTCGCACTTCTCCCATCAGCCATGCAGTAACCTGACCTTCCCTGCTCACCTGTTTCCACTCTCGCTCATCAGCCCTAAACAGCCATTTTTCACTCACTCCTTGCCAAATCGTTCTTTGTTATGTTGCTGTGTGCTTCATGTCTCGGGTCCCCGGTTCTGTCTGCTTTTCCTTTTACCTGTTTATTGGACTTTGGATTCCTGCCTGCTCCTTGTTGGATTTGTTTGTTTTGATTGCCTTCTCTGGTTTTGACTCTTGCCTTCCTCACCATCATGTAAGCATGTGTTCCTCATAGTCCATCCATCGTCAACCGCTTATCCTGCGTAGAGGTTTGTGGGGGGCTGGAGTTCGTCCTGGGTACACCCTGGACAGGTCGGCAATCCATCGCAGGGCTGTTCCTCATAGTGTTATATTTGCCAGATGATCCTCTGCTTTAGCACCCCGCTGCATCACCGGACTGGTGTCATTAAAAGAACGAGGCCTCTGACACGATCCAAAACGCAACACACCCAAAGAGTCAACACTGGCAGCAGCGTGATATTAAGAGCTGCCACATCTCCTTATTCGTTCTTTCCTCTCTGTCTGCCTCAAAACACATTTTTTTCCCCTGTGGTGATGATGGACCATGTTTGTAGAG